ACAAAAACAAAAACAAAAACAAACAAAACCAAAATGTACCGTTCGTCTTGTTTCTTCCTCTTCCTCTGTTTCTTTGGAGGAGGTTCTCTCTCTCCAAGCATATTCTTTGGGCACTGATAACTCAAGTGGCCATATTCCTGAACAAAAAAGTGAGGAAAAAAAAAATCAGTCAAGATGTCCTGTTGGTGGACAAATAAAAACAAATTCCATTTGTACGTGAAGTCTGCAATAAGCGTCTAAGTGGCTACACACCGCCTGAGCTTATATTGGTCCAGTTTGTTCCATGAAGATGGAAAGCTAGCCAGACGCAGGTACGAGACTTAGGTGCTGGCCTCTATTTGACTGGGTGTATTTTAAAATTTCTAACCTGGACAGCGATCAGAATTCCGCTAATCAGTATCGATTTCTAAATAATATTCGTCTCACATTCACTATGCATAATTCTGGGCTCAATGTTTACAAGGCTAAGACCGACATGTATTCAATGGCGCTATGTCTGTTAATCGCTCCCATCATTGATAAAACTAGTCTATATTCACCGCCGTCAAATATAGTATTTAATCGCGCCTGTCTCCACTTGGCCTGACAGCAATCTCGTTTAAGGTTTATCTTGTAGCTCAGCTGGTAAATGTATGGAAAGAGCAACAGTAAAATCTGTTTAATGATCATGGCTCAGGTCGTGGGTTCAAGATCTTGATTGCGTAGGTTAACGTTAGGACGTATCGAGGGCTATCATTTCCTGGCTTACAAGGACTAACAGCAGTTTGTCTAAATAAGTCGTTATACGTCAGGCATAACTATGGCGGCTAAAAATCGTTCAAAATGTATTAATTAGCGCAAAAATATTGCTGTTTGGTAATTGAAAAACATGGAAAGCTTCGCCGTCGCCAATTTTTAAACGCTAATATCTCTAGAGCTTTAAATGTCTTACATGTATCGACTTAATGAATGTATACAACTATACACAGTACCCGGTTGTGCTAGTTCTATGATCAACGGGATACTGGACAGAATTTATACATATGCGTTTTACTATGGTTTGAGAGCGGCCAACAGAAAAGCATTCGAAATTCCATGTTCTTGTTTTCTGGTCAAAACATAAAATCGACAGAAGCTGGAATTTGTCGTTAATATTCACAATAAGCTGATATTTAAAAGCGTAACCTTTAATCCCCTAGTATATTGCCATTAGACGTAAATTAAAGATTTTCAAAGATACTGGACATTGTCTCAACTTGTCTTAACCCATTAGGCATTAACTAAAGATTCTAAAGATACTGAATACTGTCCATAAAGTTAAAAGTAAAAAACCGAACGTTTTCGACACTATGACGGACGGTCTTTACTTACCCCAGAAGATGACCTAGTGTCGAAAACGTTCGGTTTTTTATACTTTTAACTTTTTTAGCTTTGTAAATAGAAATTATTTTTATACTGAACACTGTCTCTAACGTGTCCTAATATATCGTTGTAAAAACCTTTGCTGCCGAGTCTTACCCCACATTCGTAACAATGTGATTTATCCGGATAGTTTTTTCTCCTGATGAACTCCGTGGCGCGGCCATTGTCATTTGCGATGGTACATTTTATAGTACGGCCAAACATCTGAAAAGAGAGGAGTGCTTACTTACAAACTTTAAGGCAATATCATAAATTAGTAGAGACTTCGATAAAAAGAAAACAAGTGGAACCTTCTGGAGCAGTACAGGAATGAAGTCAGACAGACTGGGTGTGTTTTGAAACACAAAAACAGTCCTCAACCCACAAAAATAGAAGATTGTGTCATTCCTAAAATGTGTTGCATTCTTGTACAGGGCAAACAAAGCAATAACATTCAGTGTGTGAGAATTAAAGAGGTTGGGCCCCTGACATTAATTGTAAGTCAAGGTGGAAAATAAATAGAAAACTGCGATATTTTGACTCTGCAGTCACTTCGCCAAAGGCACTTTTATCTGATTACACTTAACCAGTGGTCAGGCATATTTTTTCGCTTTTATTTATTTTCCTAATGGAGCAAAGGGGAAGCCCAAACAAGGGTTTAAAACAAGAAGCTTTGCAGTACACATGCACTTACATCTATGATAAAAAAAAGTCCAATTAGGCTGTTAATATTCACTCAGACACTCAGTTCCAAGAGTACGAATTCCATCTGAGAAACATTTAACATTTACTGTACTTATTCTCCCAAACCAAGTTTTGATTACAAGACTTTCAACTAAACCAACTAGCAAGGCCCACTGGTAATACTGCAGTCTACATAATGGTAAACGATGGGTAACACAACTCAAGGTAAAGTCTGTACTCAACCCTAGAGGCCCATCAAGCGAGAATTATCTACAGTTTCTGTAGCATGGAGCAACTAAGAGTATTGCACCTCCCCTCTGGATGGGATGCTAATCCATTCCAGGGTTACGACCATCCCAAGAACACAACTGTACCACCAGGCTGCTTGAGTCCTGTGCACTAAAAATTAGCCACACTGCCTCCCAAATAACCAAAGTGTAACACCAACTCCCACCAACCTCCTACCACCCAAAATATTTGTCTGACCCAGTAAATACCTGTTTCTTGTTGACTGCTGCAACTGCTTTCTGTGCCATCTGCCGATCTAAGAACAACACAAATGCCACTCCTTTACTCTCTCTAGTCTCCTTGTCTCTAAGAATTGTCACCCTTATAAGAGAAAAATGATAATTTAACTGAAGTGGTAAACAGCTCATTTTGCCTTATAAAATACCAACTCTACTGAGCAAAAAGGTGATGAGAACTGAGATAATAATCATTCAGAAGCACCTTTTTTAAATATGGACATTAAACTTACTTCACAACTTTTCCATACTTCTCAAATATCTGTTAATAAGATAAAATATGCACAAAAGTTACAGTAATCTAAAATCTCTATGGCAAACTGCTAAGTTCAACAACAACAACAACAACCATTTTATTTTGCATAATACATAGAATATCATTCAGCAAAAGAACACATTAAACTTGATAAGCAAAAAAACCACTCACAACAGTAAAAACTAAATGAGCTGGGTAGTTACAAGAATAATTACGCTTTAAATCAGTTGTAGGAAAAATAAAGAAAAGAAGAGGTAGAAAGAGAAAAAAAATATATAGATATAAATAATAATAATAATAATAATAATAATAATAAAAAAATAAATATCAGTAGTAACAGTACCAGTCATAGACAGAGCATTGTTTAATTAAGAGCAATAGTAACTTAAAGAAAAAATACTAAGCTAGCATATACAGTACTTGTCCTATTTGATTATCAAATTTGCAATCAGTTGATGGTTCAACTAAAAGCACTAATTTNCAACAACAACAACCATTTTATTTTGCATAATACATAGAATATCATTCAGCAAAAGAATACATTAAACTTATTAAGCAAAAAAACTACTCAAAACAGTAAAAACTAAATGAGCTGAGTAGTTACAAGAATTACTACGCTTTAAATCGGTTGTAGGAAAAATAAAGAAAAGACGAGGCAGAAAGAGAAAAAAAAATATATAGATATAAATATAAAAAGAAATATAAGTAGTAACAGTACCAGTCATAGACAGAGCATTGTTTCATTAAGAGCGATAGTAACTTAAAGAAAAAATACTAAGCTAGCATATACAGTACATGTCCTATTTGATTATCAAATTTACAACCAGTTGATGGTTCAACTAAAAGCACTAATTTTATCCTTTTATTATTCAAGACGTACACAACCTATATGAAAAGGTTGGGGATGCTTGTTGTCTCACTTAGGGGTATAAATCAAGGATTCTGGTCTCACTTAGGGAGTTTATGATTAAACACTACTATTTTGGGCTGTCAAAGTATCTTTTAGGGTGCAATCGAAGAAATAATAATTATACAACACTCTGACTTATTTCCCATTTTTAGGCTTGATTTCCAATGGTCTCTCGAGTGCAGTCTACTAGCGCTGGCCCCTTTCCTGGACAGTGGCTGGTAACCAAGCCTAATCCGTTTTAAGAGGTATCTTTTAGCGTCTTCAAGGGGTCAAATAAAGCTCGATCCATGCTCAGATTGGTATCCTTTAGGAATTCAATTCAGATTTTATGATGAGCATCACTGACCCTTTTATATGGGAGTCCCCCCCAGGAAGGGGGGGGGGGCATATGGCACCTTAAATATACAGCTCTGATTTTTTGAGTCACCAAGGAACTATAAATTGGTTCAAAAAATTGACAGGTTCAAAAATACATGTCTGAGTAAATTTCATTTAGCTTATATTTAGCCCATTGACACCTGGAGGTTTCTAAGAAAAATGCATCTTTGACACTTTTTTGGCATTTTCAGTCTGGATATGAGCTAAATTAGCTCCAATCTACTCAAAAAGGCATTTGCAACATGAAAGCATGCCTTTCTTTCCACTAGCATTGTGTTTTAATCAAAATTTTGAAAAAGTGACCTATGTCCTTTTCGTTTTTTTTTTAATCTACTTTTTTGCCTTTCTTTTTTCTCCTTTTCTTAACTTTTTGCTACAGTTGATCTTTTCACTTGTGAAGACAACATGCCACTGTATTTTCAGTTGTGAAGATATTGTGTTTTTGCGCAAAAGCTCACCTGGTATTCCATTGGTGTTTATATAATAAATTACAATATTCAAACTACATCTGTGATGTCTCTTTCACAGTCATCATTTGAGTGACCTTTGGCACAGGCATTCTATCTCCATAAATTACCTTGTGTAAATCATTATTTGTGAGAGAATAAGGTAAATTTCCCACATATACTGTAGACTTGCTTGGTGCTAATCCTCCACTCATGCTTACTGGAAAAAAGGATGCTAAATAGGTACTTATACTGTACTTTCCCTAAAACAATGCCATTTCAGCAGTGCTGTGTGATTGGTTAGATAAAAATCAACATAACTTGTATTTATGGTGGGTACCATGGGGGAAGTGATCACAACTACCACTTACTGGAGGAATGGTGAAGTGACTTCCAAGACCTTTGTCTTAAATGGTGGTGTGTGCAATTCCCAGGTCTGGTCAATCAACAAAGTGGCAATCAATAACAATCAGTACCAAAATATATCAATTGCAATCTTGGACTGATATCTAATTTGTGTGATGCATTGCTATCAATTGCCGATAGAAAATAAGAAATTGATCATGATTGATCCATCGAATGATATAGATTATTGAACGATGATTTTCATTTTCTTTTTACAAGTTAAACTAATCAGATCGTAGACAGTTTAGTTTATTACCAGATTGTCGATTGATATTTAAGGCATAGATTGTTTTCCGACATCGTTTTTTATCGATTGATTATATCTGACAGACTGTACATATACACATACATATGAAAGCTACTGAGCAGAACTTTCATGTGAGGCAATTTTGCCATATGTATACGAAGTGATCCTAACTTTTCAGCCTGTAAATAATACCCTAGTGTGTGACTATTCAAATGAAAGGTATTAAACAGTATACTTGAATGGCACTCCTAGTTTTAGTACTTTCATGAGGCATTGTTATTTGTAAACACTGTTATTGGTAAACACTTTTCAATATAAATTAGTGCAAATGCTGTCCGATCGAGTTTGTGTAAATCACTATCTCAAAAATTTTTTGTCAGCGCTAAGCTTAACCAATACCTCCGACCTTGACAGATGCTACGGGTATTTGCTTAGACGATCTGCTTCATACGCTTCGCCGTCCGCCATATTGAAAACCGATGAACATCGTCCATTGTCGGTAATCTTCGTTACATGGTCGGAGTAACTCGGGGAAAGCAACGTAACTTCGTGGTAAAGCGTGGTTACCAAGCTGACAGCATTTTCAAAACATCCTCAAGCATGGAGAATTATATTGACCTCGTGTTTACAACGTGTATTGCTTTTTTCTTTCAATTGGAGTCATGCCAGTGAATTGAAGAGGTTATCATGAACCATCAGAAAAGATTTATCAAGAACTCAGAGCAGTGTACTTGGCCTTAATGCCTTCTTTCGCGCGCGAAAATCAGATTTTGCGGTTCTGGCAGGTTGTTTTGACGTTGTTGACAGTCGTCCTCGTTCCAGAAGTTCTGCCGGAGAATTTACTGCATGGAGCAAGGCTGGCTACTTTTCCAAAACCAGACTTCAGAACTAATTTTACTCTAAAGTCAAATCAAGGGGTCGGTTCATTTAAGGAGATTCGTCATGGGTTGAATGTGGACCCATTTTACGTTCGTGTTTATGCGAAGCCTCGCAATGGGAACAATAGTGCCTTTTGCTTCAATGGAATAGGTTCCAGCCAGTCTTCGCCGTCGAGGAGCTCTTTCGGGGGATTAATTTATGCTTACAACGCGGAATTCGTTCGAATATGGGCTCCGACAGATCCAAATGGTCATGTAGTGTTCGTGAAAGATGGTTGGGGAGGTGAAGTGAACACCCAGGTTTCAAACGAAGCTGAAGTCGTGGTGCAAGTGTGGAAAGACGGGCCGGCGCCAACTTTTCAAATTGAACACGTTGTGGACACACGTGCAGTCCAATTAAACCAAGTCTATCATCAAGTTGATCATGAGTTAAGACAGTTGCCTGAGAGAGTTGTGGTCAGACTTTCCCCAGCGGAATCTGACGATGATGTAAGCAATCCAAACAAGGGATTTTGGTTTCCTGCAGTGGCTTCTTCTCAAAATCCTGACCCTAACAGTAACTTTGGCGGGGTAATATTTGCGTACAACGAGAGATACGTTCGTTTGTGGGGTCCTGAGGGAGCTAACAACAACAACACTGGATGTATTTTTATAGGCAGGGAATACACTGGGGGAGGTCACAGTCAGAAAGTGACTAAATGCAGGGTGGAGACACTGCTTTGGGTCAACCAACTACCGACACCAGCTTTTCAGACTGAATGGTTTCACTTTAACGGGCAGAGAGGTGATAATTCCTTCAAAGAAATAGCTCATGGTATTAACTTGTTACCTGCCCTTGTCATCGTTCAAGTGAGAGCAGTAAATGGAAAGAATATCGACTACGTCTTTGAGGCACAGGGTGCCACTCAGTCTGACGATGATGGCACTAATGAGTATGGAGGTGTTGTGTTTGCCTATAACGAGAACAAGGTCCGTATCTGGGCTCCCAGCAAGCACGATGGATCAAAGAAAGGATATCCCATTCTTGTAAAAAGTGGCTGGGGATATAGTTCAAATTTGCAAGCAGGAAGTGATTATGTTGAAGTCAGAGTTGTCGTTTACTCTAGTAAATGCAATAATTCTGCAGAAGTTCTATTTGAGGGTGACCAGTGTGTTTCAACACTGTATGACTCTTACAAAACAGTGGTGTCAAAGTGGTCTGAATGCTCCAGTATTTGCAACAATGGAACAAAGAAAAGATCGTTAACAGGTGAATATATGTGATTGGATTTATGAAAACAGTAATAATCTAAGCTGTTGCTTAAGGGAATTTTTAAGAAGACTAAGTTAGGAGCCCAGGATAAAAGTTTCCGTGGTCAATCCTGGGGGTTGGGAGTTTGGCGTACATATGGGGAAAAGGGGTTGGATGGAGGTGGCCTAGCGGGTATCCTCCTTTTCTCTGTTGAGATTTTCCTTGAGACACTAACATCAATCAAATTTTTGGAATCAAGCATTCAGCAAAGTGATGAGGTCATGACTGAGGAAGAATATTATTTATGTTGTAATTTCAATGAAATAAATAAAATTCAATAATTGATGTACACATGCAAGTGCTGCAGCTGTTTTTTGCAATAACATTATTGCTTTTGCTTTTGAGTTTTGCCATTCCATTTGAACAAAACAAAATACATCTATGCCATACAAATCATGAGATGCAAGCAGCATGTGAAAAGAAATTATAATGAAAGTGGCATTTTAGGGGGTTTGAATTTGGCGTGACCCAGATATATCNCCATGTCGGCCGAGCTGTTTTTCTCCTCAATCCTAGAAGGGTTGGCACTGGAATCTGTTTTTTCCCTGTCGTCAGCGCTCATGTTCCTTCAGTCGGTGATTTGTTCTTCCAGATAGCGTAACGGAAGTGTGCAAAAGGAATTTTTCAGAATTTCATTCAGCAAAAATTTTTGCTGCCTTCCGACGGCGCGAAGCGAGAAGCACTGACGGGCGCATGCGTGATGCAATCTCATGGGATCCCTGTGGCAGTGGTGACGAAATAGAATTTCATATTTTCTGTTATTTTGAAATTTATGTTTTCTTCATAATGAGAAGTTGGAAATATTATGTCATTAGCATCATTACTTCATTTCTAAAAATGTTTGTTGTTAAAATAGTTATTTGTAACTGCAATAATATTGCCTTTTCCTCAGAAAGGTATCAACAGAGACAAAATCCATTGGTGTACATGATTTGCATTTATGCAATACTGAATTTGCAGTTTTCAAATATGGTTGTTTTTGGCTGTTTTGTGAGTGGAGTGAGACTTTGTTGCTGTGTGTTAGCCCACATTTCTTGTGATAAAAGCACAACAAGAGGAGAGTAACTGTTGATTTCAGTTTTAAAATTTATTGTGTGACTGATTTTATGACCGATTTCATGAGAAACATCCCAGCCGGTCAAAATGAGAGTTACCCAGTGAAAACATCAAATTTACCGAACAAATGCACAATGACTGGTGATGGTTGGCAGGCTTGTTAATGGGAATTTCTTGTATTTCTTATTAGATGGGAATGGAAACTCCATGTTTAGACGCCCACTCGGGCTCCTTGAACAAAAATTTAATCACCTGCACTTGTAACTTAGGCACTTGACTGGCGACTGGGTACCCATTAGACAAAAGCCTTGGGTAATGAAAGGTTTGTTTGTTTTTTGTACCAAGTGAACTACAGACCTTGATTTTATGAATCTTAAAGGTCTGAAAATCTCTCCAAGTGATGGGTAAAAAGTAGAATAGTACAAAAAGTGAGATAAGAGAATGGCGAAGGAAAAAAACCTGGCATTCCTTTGAATGTGCATGAACTGATTATGCGTGAACTGATTATGTAATTTGAACCTATTTACTAGTTACTAGTAAGTTAATTTCATTTTTCTTTGTCTTATCGTGCAGGTTGCCAGGTAGTGTCGCAAAAACGCATCCTGTCATGTGATTTTGAGAATGGAATGTGTGACTGGACTTCTGCTCAGCAAGGAGGCAGCTCTATAAGATGGGTTATAACTAACACATCGACTCCTGAGCCGAACACAGGACCACTGTGGGGTCATCCGAAAGGCTCCCGTTATATATATTCCGACACTTCTCAGGCAGCGCCAAATCAGAGAGGTATATTTAAGAAATAGATAAAATAAATAAAAAAACCTATAAAATATACTTTTATGGAGCTGTATGCATGATATACTTTTAGTAAGGGAGCCTAATAAGCCAATTAATCCTTTCATTGATCTCTGTTACTACATGTACTTGTAACAACATTTTCATTTAACACTTAATTTGACAACAGAATAAGCCTCTTTTCCCTCAAGTCTGTACTTCACAACTTAGCACATTGCATCTTCAACCTACTTCTAAAAACAATTAATTATATATGAATCCATACATGTATTAATTTTTCCCACTCAGACAGCATTGTATTATTTCTCCTTTTGTCATGAAACTTGTCACCAGTGCAAGTATGCAAGACATTATACTTGCCCTGACAAAAATGTAACTTATTCTTAAAAATTTGAGAAAGAAATTTTGGTGAATTTAAACTTTGTTTTGTTTATCATCGTGCAAACATGAGTTGAATTAACACTAACTTATGCAAGATCGTATTGTAAAAGTATGTTTTTGGCCAGTTTGATAACAAAATCATCACTAAATACAATTATTTAACTGAAATGACCAACTCAGAGTGACATTCACCATTATTTTATTTATGAATACTTCTTGATCAGACTACTTATTTATTCAATGTCACTATCCACATCACCTTCATCATCTTCTCCTTTGAACTAATGTCCGAAGGGCAAGATTTCTTACATAAAAAAAAAAAAACATGTACTTGTCTATGGTTAGCCAAATGTTGCAAAATTCAACAACTTGGACCTTCATATTCAACAACTTATATTTATTTTCAACAACATATATTTATATTCAACATTTTATATTTATATTCAATGATACGCATTTTCTTTCAACTTCAACCCAACTTATTTTCATTCAACAAAAATATTTGTTCAACTTCAACCAAAAATAATTTCATTCAACAAAAATATTTGTTCAACTTCAACCGAAAATAATTTCATTCANTTTTTGTTGAATGAAAATAATCTGGGTTGAAGTTGAACAAATATTGTTGTTGAATGAAATTATTTTCGGTTGAAGTTGAACAAATATTTTTGTCGAATGAAATTATTTTTGGTTGAAGTTGAACAAACATTTTTGTTGAATGAAAATAATTTGGGTTGAAGTTGAAAGAATATGCGTATCGTTGAATATAAATATAAAATGTTGAATATAAATATATGTTGTTGAACATAAATATAAGTTGTTGAATATGAAGGTCCAAGTTGTTGAATTTTGCAACATTTGGCTAACCATACTTGTCTGCGCAACTTAATGGTTGTCATAGACCATCAGACGACTGCCAATATGGATCCACCAGCTACAGTCTCTATCCCACGATCAATAGCTACAATATTATATATTAAGGGGTGTAATTGCTGTTGCCAATACAGCTTCCTTCTTTTCCTTTTTCTGTAAGGTATGTATGATGCCATATTTGTCTTGCTTATTAAGTACAAGCGAACCTGGACTGTTATCCGGACTTGTCGGGACTAGACGAAATAGCCGGATAATCGAGGTTCCAGATAATCAAAAATATGAATATTAATGAAGAACAAAACTGACTGACTGTAACCGTGAAACAACACTTTTACAAATCGTTTGGACAACAATATGGTCTACATCTTCACTGTCCGTTTGCGAGCTGTTCATCATGGGCAACTTTCAGCGATTTTCGCTTCAATCTTTCGCTGGTCTCTAAGTTGTCGGCAAACTTCATGATCTTTTCCTGACAAATTGGTTCCTTTTTCTCCTTTCTCTGATTGAAAAAAATTATAGACTGTTTATCTTTGATTGAAAGAACAAATCGCTTACACTTCAAGGACATGATGATCGTGAAATTTCTCTTTGCGATAAAGCAACTCTGAGCCAATTAGAACTCATTCGAATGTTCTTCTTAAGTTACGACGTGTGCGAGCGCTGCTCTTGCTCTTTGAAAGCAAAAGAAACTCGCTTTCCACTGTACCTTTCAATGCTGTAGTTTTAAAAAGAATATGACTAAGGATCTTGATCGTGACTGATGAATATTCATGACAGAACTGGGACTAGTGAAAAAGTCTGGATAATCGAGAAATCTGGATAATCGAGGTATGGATTATCGAGGTTTGACTGTAATCATCTTAATATATAAATTAAGGCTGTGTATGTGTACTTATATGTATTAAAGTTAGTAAGAGTTCTTTTTCGTTTTTTTCAATTGTTAACAGCCACTCTAACAAGTTCTAATATTCAAGGAGCTAGCAAGTGTGAGTTCCGTTTCTTTTGGAACATGTATGGAGGTGACATCGGTACACTTTATGTGCATGTCAACATTCAAAATCCAGAAGAATTGGGAAGTCGTGGCAAATGGAATGATTCAGGTGGGTCTGAAAGTACAGTGGCAACCAGATGTACTGTAACATCAATAAACACAAAATGTTGCATGGAACTGTTCAGTAAATTGAGTTTGTAACAAGCAAGGGACTCATTGAACTATTTATTAATTAAATAACCTTTCACACAATCAGTATTAGGAGAAGGTCATAGATTTGACTCCCATTTGAAACTCAATCTTTTATTTAATAATAATAGTAATAATAGTAATAATAATAATAATAATAATCAAATTTATATAGCGGTAATTATATAAAATATTCATAAGCGCTTTACATTTTAAAATATAAAAATGTAAAATATACGTATTTTTAAAAATTTAAAATATAAAAAGTAGCATTACAAATAAAAAAAAATAGATGAAAGTAATAAAATTTATCACTGAATGTTATAGGCTTCTCTGAACAAATATGTTTTTAGCTGTTTTTTAAAGGAGTAAATGTTTGGCACCATCTGAATGGGCTTTAGAAGCTTGTTCCACATTGATGGCCCAGCATAGGCAAATGCCCGATCACCCAATGTCTTACATTTCATTCAAGGCATAACTAACAACGTGAGATCGTTAGATTGCAGAGCGCTTTGAGGAGATGACTTTTTCCTTGTAAGATCTGCGATATTTGTCCCATACTCATGAAAAGCTGAATACACTTACTGTAACTGCTTAATTGTTGATTGCTCATGTCCAAATACAAGTCTGAGCTGGTGAATTTCAAATCATCTATTTACTCACTAGACAGGCAGTTAAAATTTTCCACACAGCCTAGAAGGGCAGTCTGTTTTAATCAGTTTGCCTCCTGTTGTTGTATGTAAAACTGCTCCACAATTCACAGAAACAGGTTTGTTCTTTGTTTCTTTTTGAAAACTGTCTGTCATCTGCAACTCTGCAGGCTGGAACATGACTGGTGATCACGGGGACATTTTCTGGAGAGCCGCTTTTGTAAACCTTGAAAAGTTTGACAAGATCTACCAAATTCGGTTTGTGCATATATTGCCTGAGGGAAACTGTCATGCAGGGAGCCCAAAGTGTACTGTTTGCAAGTATCAGAAGTGCCCAGCTGCTAATCTTGCAATTGATGGAATTGAGTTAGTTTGCCAGAGCGAAAAAAAAGATGTCCCTGTTGAAGTGTGCACAAAGAGGACAGCAGTATTGGCTGGTTGTGAAATGGAAGCTGTTATGGCATCAGTTGCTGGTAAGAAATCAGTGTAACATTGTCCATGGTGCAAAGAAACAAACTTTTAGGCTTCCAGGCTGCAAAGAAAACCAATTTTCAGTCCTTTTGGCAAGCTGTACCTATGATGTACTAATGCGAAAGTCATTCTCACTAGTCCCAAATAATTTCTTCTTTTACATTACTTCTGTAATTTGAATTTCCTCAAACTTTTGCCAAGAAACTTCACTTGTCTGAATGTCCACTAGCTAAAATGCATAATCCACTAGTCCCAGGCTATCAAAACAGGCACATGTATCTGATATCATATGGCATGCTTGTAAAATTTTCCATTTAGCATTAACTTTTTCTTTAATACTGTTCATGCAGCTACTTTTGTTAATAAACATTGGGTTGACTCCTTCCCTATTATACAATCTTATATGTACTAGCTAGCTGATTAATGATAAAAAATTTGAGGATGTTAGAAAATTTTCTGTGAACAAAAGAGAAGCTTCTTTTAAGAGCTTTTGATTTTATTGCATAGTTATGTACATGTTTATATGCTTCTCTGAGGTATAAATACTTGTGTATGAAATACATGTACAATTTAAGTCTGTTTGGATTTTTTCAAGGTCCAGCATACAGTGTTAAGACAATTGGCTTAGACACCTACGTCAAAGCAGCTGGTTTACCCCAGCAACTGATAGCTGTGTATGAATTTGAAGTGGTGTTCACAGCCAGTTATGCGATTTGGATGCATTTTTTCGCTACAACAAATCAAACCAATGATATCTCATTCAGAGTTGGTGAAGGAGATTGGACTGTATGGCGACCACCACACAAAGGTTCCCATGCCTTGTGGACACAGTTCTTCTATCAGGTATATTTTCATTCATCTATGTGAGCTCTTTCATTTGTGGGAAGAAATTTTTGGTTTCTAAATCCTCCCTAATATGAAGATATGATTGATTATTACAGTTATGTAGACAACTTAAGCAGCTCTGAAATTAAAGCCTTAAAAATAATTCAGGCCTGAATGGGATTCAAACCTCTGATACCAGTGCTTTGCTCTACTAACTGAGCTATATATCAAACGAACTGGGAGCTGTCACGTTGTGAGTTCGTAGTGCACTGTACCCATAGATGATTAAGATACAAGCAAATATATGAAAGATCATATATTTGAACTGCGGAGAAAGATATGAAGACATGGTTGAACATCACAGTCGTATACACAACCTAAGCAACTATAAATTAAAGCCTTGAACTCATCTGTAAAGGCTTGAATGTTTAATGTTATTATTACAATAGTTATTTTTTTCATTGTCTAGTCAACTTCGTTTATTTATTTATTTTTTTGTATAAATTCTTTGATGTAAATTTGATCAATTCAGGTACCAGATACTTGAAAGTTTCTCCAATTATTTGACCTCTTTTCAGCCTTTCACACTGAAGCCTGGCATCCACAGAATATCTTTGCGGCAACAAGAAGATGGTTTTCTTCTGTCCAAACTTGCTCTTGTTCCAGTTAAGCTATCGATGTGGACTGATTTAGGAATGCAGAGTCATCATATCCCAGATGGGTTTCTGTATGCATTTCCTGAACAGTCAAATCCTGAGCCAAGATTTGGGAGACTACATTCTCAAGGTTTGATTTTTTTGTTTAATTGTACATTCAAGGCAATCTACTGTATGCATGATGCATTCACAGTGGCATATCCATTTAGACCTTCCATACAGGCAATAACATCAGCATCAAGAATCTTTTTCACAACATTGACTTGACAAAAACACATTACAGTCCTGATCTCTGGCCATGCAGGTTGTTGGTAACAAAATGTATTTGGATCTTTTCCTTAGATGCTTGGTGTTCCTCCGACCACAACCCTGGATATGTCTTCTTCCAGATTAAACTGCCTCAGTTAGCACTTCTCTCTAGGATATCAATACAGGGAGGCAAGGACATTCTGCAGAAGCGAAATGATTACTGGGTGAAAAAGTAATGATAATGATGTTATTTATTTATTGGGTCAGAAATCATAGCCAACCCCCCATGGGTGGATCTTTTTGTTAATTGGGGACACCTAAATCTTTTTACAATAATGTAAAAAATTGTAAAATTAAGTAAGTTGTGATTTCTGAGTGACATTTTACTTAATTTATGCAGGTACACAATGTAGGTACTAACAGAAAATTAACTCCCCTGTATTTACAGTTGTATAAAAAACAACACCAAAGTACAATAAATTTACAAAAGAAGAAAACTCAGTTAATAAATTGTTATTATTACACATAATACTGTCTGTTGAAAGTTAAGGTCTGCCAAAGTCGTCAAGTTAAGCATATTGAAGGCAGAACTTAATTCTGTTTTTTATTGTATTCAGCACAAAAGGAAATTTGTTGCCCCTCTTGGGTTGAACTCTGGCCATTTGCAGCTAACCGCCCTTCTTTCTTCCCTGTCATGGTCATTTTTTTCTGCTTTACCGGACAATTCAGCAGGCACCATTTCTGCTTATGGATGGAGTGAAAGGTTGTGAGAGTACAGCATCTTATTGTGCAACAACACAAAACATCGTTCCAGCATTAAGCTGAAACCTTATCCAGAGAAAAAGAGAGAGAAGAGAGAAAAAGTATAATAATTTTGAATAACTGGTGGATTGTCTTGGCAGACTTTGGCTTATGCTAATAATAATAATCAGCAGCAGGGAACAGTTTCATTTCACAAAGTAATGAAGTGTAGGTAGGCATGCTTGCATGTTATTTAATAATATGGTGCAATTTTCGCTTGTAGTTTCAGACTGAAAGTTTCTTTAGATGGCGTCAGGTACACATGGTATAGGGATACCAATGGTCGGCGGACATTTATTGCTAACAAAGGTGCAAAATCCTAGTGTAATGACAATACACATTACATCCAAGTAGTCTGTACATGTACATACAGTTATGGGTCAAATATCCTGCTGCCACACTTCTAAAGCTAATAAACTGATAGCCCATGATCAAGCTGCCCATTGGGTTATAGGTGAAAAAAACCGCAAAACAAAAAAACGCACACACACACACACACACACAAAAACAAACAACAAATTAAACAGTAAGTACCGGAAATTAGGAGTGACTTGTAATGTAAAGTATACAACTGTACTTAGCCTTGGTAAATGTGGGATTTCTTTTTTGCAGTCACTGTGTTAAAGTAGTTACAGTATCTGTATCACATCCTCTTTCATCTCTCTTTAGCCTAATAATTTTTTATTTGGTGCCCTATGGAAATTCTGTGGGGTGACATTTGCAATAGCCAAAGTTTTGAAGGAGAGAATGAAGTTTAACTAGAGACTCCAGAGGGGTTGGCAGTTCAAATGGGAAAAAAAAACCCTCTCTATGGGCAAATGCTGTGGATATTTTCTGTGATATGACTCATTGTCAGTGTCATTACGAGAACCCTGACTAGGCTTGAACTCAGACCTTCTAATTATTTGATTCAATTTTTTATGCCAGATGCATCAAGTGTAATTACTCACACCTTGATGTTTGCTGCTTTGGTGCGTGGGGTAAGAATCTTCCCATATGGCTATGAAAACTGGATTTGTTTACGTGCCGAGTTGTATGGATATTACTTGAGTAACAAGATGTGTGCTTCCTCTGGTCCTGCTATGATGACTAGCAAGCCATGTACTGGTGACAGGAACTGTGGGCAGAATGCTGAGTGTGCATCACCAGGAACTTCAGGAATTAAAAAACAGGGTACAGTGTAATATCTGGACTACAACAAGAATTGAGATCTCATGCATGTACATGCAGTGGACTTGTGTGATATTCCATGGTTTACCACTCAAAAGCATTGCATAGCTAGTTTATAAACTGAATTTACTCTGATCTTAGGATCTGACTCCTAGGATCTTGTAACTCTTATTTTTCTCCCTGGCCATAGATGGTGACAGCAGCATCCAGTCCAGTAACATAACTGAAGAGTTCTGTCACTGTTATCCTGGTTACCATGGTCCCAGCTGTCAGCACTATGGCTGCTCATCCAACCCTTGCCTTAATGGCGGCAGCTGCTCTGAGGTCAATGGCACCTATTCTTGCGCCTGTTCACCTGGTTACCATGGTCACACCTGTCAACACCCATGTAAATCTGGCTACTATGGTTACAACTGCAGTAAACAGTGCCAGTGCACTCGTCATGGCACTTGTGATATAGCCACTGGTCACTGCAATTGCAGACGTGGATATTATGGGACGTACTGTGAACTAGGTTGCAGCCCTGGATATTTTGGCTACAATTGTGCCCAGAAGTGCCAGTGTAAGAATGGAGCATCATGTGATAGAGGAACAGGGTTGTGTAACTGTACTTTGGGTTGGACAGGAGCAATGTGTAATAAACCCTGCTCCTGGAACTTGTGGGGAGTCAACTGCACACTCAACTGCTCATGTTCAAAGTCAGCCAAGTATTGTGACAGATTTACGGGGAGATGCATTTGTTCCTCTGGATATTTTGGCGAGTAAGTTAAATGGTAACATTGTGTACTACTGGAAAGACATTATGACTGGTATTGGGGAATAAAATAGTTTATTTTTTACACTGTAACTATCTCCAGATTACCTTGTTGTATGTTTGTGTCAGTGTGAGATATGTGAAGCCTTTAATTTCTGAATTAAAGTGATCAATGAGTGGCTTGAAATTTAAGCTGATGGCTTTAACTGAAATTTGGTGCTACATCTTAGCAAAATTCCTTGTGTGAAGTTGAGGATTTATTTTATTGTCATTGAGAGTAATTACTTCTCTACTTAATAATTTTCATGTAATGAGGCCGTGATAAGAAATTTATTGTTTAATGCCATTCTATGTTGCACAGGAAATGCCAGCTACCTTGTCCAGTAGGAAGGTATGGCTTCAACTGTAGTGGTCAGTGCCAATGTCAAAACAAGGCAACTTGTTCTAAAGAAGATGGGACCTGCAATTGTACCCAGGCAGGGTGGACTGGGGTGCTCTGTCATCAGCCCTGCCCAGGGGGATACTATGGAATCAACTGTATTAAAAACTGCACTTGTCAGAATGGGGGAGCTTGTGATCCAGTAACAGGTAAGAGTGTGTTGCTTCCCTAATTTTAAACTCAGAACTCAAGTTGATTGAGACAAATCATTTCCATTTATACTAGTCTTAACTTCCAATATAACAAGGAATGATGCTGAATTTACATGTACATGTACCCTGATCAACTTCAAAGTTTATATTAGCCTGTGTAGTCGACGTTTCCTTTCTATTTTCCAAGGGGAGGAGGAGATTGAGCAAGTGAGCGAACAATTGAGTGCACCTGGGATGAGCAAAAAAAGGGGGGGAGACGTTCCTTTCCCTTCGTGTGTTTTGAAAATGACTGCCTGCTATGCCAGCGAAGTTAATATTTAATATGATTGTGTTTAGCTTGCCTGCTGGTGCAGAACAGTAGTTTCTTTGCTTGTTGTTAAAGTGCTTGTAATTCCTTGTGTTTGTTAATTTTAACTTATCAGCTGTTTCATATATAACCAGGAGCCATAATCGGGGACGGAGACCGTAAGCGCGCGCTATTTCTAGTATTGGGGCTGTCCCTATGAT